GACTTCGGCTCAGGTCATGATCTCACAGTTCATGGGTTCGAGCCCCGCGTCGGGCTCTGTGCTGACAGCTCAGAGCCTGGAGCTGCTTCAGGTTCTGTGTCTCCCTCTCTCTCTGACCCTCCCCTGCTCATGCTGTCCTTCTCTCTCCCAGAAATAAATAAAAAACATTTAAATAAAAATCTGGCATCGGGCCTGAAAAAGGTCAGTGGCGTCAGATTCCTTCACAGTAACGTCCCCAGGACCGACCGCAAGACATCGGAAGGTTGGCGTTTTAAGACTAAAATGGACGTAGTGCATTTTTCAGGAGGCATGGCACTGCCTGAATTAAGTACTTAAAAGTGTCGTTGCAAAAAAAAAAAAAAGACTCTAATCCTCAGGTTTTCGAAATCCTGACAAGTCCCCAGAGACGAAGGAAGGGAGGGTTGAGTTCCAGAAAAAGCCGGGTCTTCCTTATTGAAAAGACAGACGCTGAACCCCTTCGGTCACAGGAAAGACGAGGACGCGTTTTAAAGGAGAGATTCTAAAGGGCTCTGAGCTTTGGGGACTACATGTTTACAAAACAAAAATTCCAAAGCACTGAAACGCCACCTGAGTTCGGGGATGCATTTAGGAGCGGCCATCAGCGGCAGGGCGGTGCGGGGCCGTTACCCACACATACCCCGTCCTCAGATCGCACCCAAACGGCCACAGGCCCTTGTAATGTACACTCCCGCCCCTGAGCCGGAAAGCAAACACACGCTGCTCCGAGACCCCAGGTCCCACTCTCCCTGCTACGCTTCACCTCCAGCGGTGGAAACCACACCCGGTTGAGACTAAGTGGTCCGGGGGGACGCGGCGGAAACCGGGCCCAGCGCGCTGACCGGCCGGCGGGCGGCGGAGGCGACGCGAGGGCCGCCGCGGGGTGGCCCCGGGGCCCGAGGCGGAGGGAGGCTGCGCGCCACCGGCGCCCGGGTATCCAGCGAGCCCCCGCCCCCGCCTCCGCCGGACGTGACGTCAGCACCCGTCGGCGGGGCGGGGCCGAGAGTGCGCATGCGTGTGGAGCATGCGCAGACGTTCCCCTCCCGCTCGGAGGTTCCGGACGCTTTAGAGGTTTTTTTTGGACTCTGACTCCCTGGTTGCTGCGCCGGCGTGTAGCCCCCTGCTCTTGTTCTCCCGGCCCAAGAATCTCGAGACCACCTTATTCCCTCCGTCCTGGCGGCTAGTGTTTGGGATGCTCTCTCCTCCTCGTCCCTTAAGGTCCCCGCCCTGCAGCTGTGGGGGCGGGGGAGGGGTACTTCCTCGGAGCCTGAGAGGATCTGCGATGGAAGACGCCTGTTTTGTTTCTTTATTTCCGTCCAGTATGTGGAAACAAGACGAACCGCACGAGAAACGCAATGGCAATTTATTCGGAGCTTGCTATGCAAGAGAGCCACCATCACCTGAGTTTTGGCAGGAAATCAAAAGCAGGCAGAGGAGTGGAATGAATGCTTCAGACGTGCCCCCGTTGGAGGCTGCAGCAAAGCTGGAGGGAGACTAAGAAGCGGGGCATCCTGTGTGGTCCCTGGCCATCGTCGGTTAGCCATGTGTGGTCCTAGGTTGGGACAAAAATTAGGGAAGCTGTGGGGCGCCTGGGTGGCTCAGTCCGTTGAGTGTCTGACTTGGGCTCAGGTCATGATCCCACGGTTCGTGGGTTCGAGCCCCACATCAGGCTCTGTGCTGACAGCTCAGAGCCTGGAGCCTATTTCAGGTCCTGTGTCTCCCTCTCTCTCTGACCCTCCCCCCTGCTCATGCTGTCTCTCGTTCTCTCTCTCTTTCTGTTAGAAATAAATAAAACATTTTTAAAAATTAGGGAAGTTGTCAGTTATTAATCAAGCCCTGGCCGTTTGGGGTCGATTGTTACAGTCTACTGTTTACCTCTCCGGATGGTTATTAAAGCTGGCAGTCTGGCTTCCTGCAAGTCTCCATTCTAGCAGAAAGGCTTCCTAGACAGATTACTACAGATAAGGGGTTGGTCTTCTAACTAGGCTTCTGCAAGTTGTGGGTCAAAGTTCTATTTTTACATGTGTATATTCAGCCCCTCACGTTAAACTCTGTAAAATTAAGTTAGTGGAAAATGAAGTTTAGAACTAAGGTATACTAAATACAAGCCCAAGTTTATTAGAGTCAATGGACCTACGGCTACTCTGTAAAATGGCTCCTAAAGTTGATAAACATTTTCAGTGTCTTTTCTTACCTTGTCACACACCAGCACTGGCCCTGGGGACATGTCTGAGCACACCGCCTGCGTTGGTTTTAAATCACCACAGCTTGAGAGGTACCCCTTAGAGAAAAGTCCATTCGGCGGTGGGTGCTGCCTCCTTAACAGCTCAAATCTGTACAGAATAGACCCCACAGAGGCCAAGCTCTACGGGGAAACTTTGGAATCAGCGGTACTGAAGTCAGTCCAGTTACAGCGTCCATAAGTTTGTGGTGCGATGGCTAAACAGAACTTTTTTTTTTTTAATTTTTTAAATGTTTTATTTATTTCTAGGAGAGAGAGAGACAGCATGAGCAGGGGAGGGTCAGAGAGAGAGGGAGTCACAGACTGAAACAGGCTCCAGGCTCTGAGCTGGCAGTCAGCACAGAGCCCGACGCGGGGCTCGAACCCATGAACCGCGAGATCATGACCTAAGCGAAAGTCGGACGCTTAACCGACTAAGCCACCCACGCGCCCCTAAACAGAACTTTTAAAAGAAGCGTGTGGTGGTGGAATTCAGGCCTTTAGGATTCTCCCAACCCCTCGACCATCACCACCTTTGGGGTCCTCAGTACTGGGGTACTAAGCCTTGCTTAGGGAGTGTTTCTTCACATTGGGAGGAATTCTTCGAGGCACAGCTTTCAAGAAGCCCACCTGTTCTATTCGCTTCTTCAGAACATTGGACTCGTCACTAATGTTGACAATTTCCTTTTTCTTTTCAGTCCTTAAAATAGAGCTAATCATGGTGACAGTATCATGGAGGCATTGGCAGGATTAAATGAGAAAGTGTGTCAAGTGTCTGGCACAGCGCCTGGTGCTTGGCACAGTGAGAATATATGTGCAACAGCTGCCAAGAGCTAAAGAGTGACAATATGGTTGTCTTTAACTGCCATTCACTGTGCTTTTTGATGAGCTGATAAACAGAATATTTGGAAGCTTCTATAGAAAATAAGTCTCTTAGATATTTGTCTTAACTTTGCAGCCAGAGTGACCTTTTTTCTTTTTCTTTATTTTAGAGAAAACATGAGCAGGGGAGAGGGGAAAAGGGAGAGAGGGAGAAAGAGAAAGAGAGAGAAACTTAAGCAGGCTCCATGGAGCCTGACACTGGGCTTCATACCACAACCCTGGGATCATGACCTGAGCCAAAATCAAGAGTCAGATGCTCAACCGACTGAGCCACCCAGTTGCCCCCAGAGGGACACATTTAAAATGTCCTTTCTCAGGGCACCTGGGTGGCTCAGTCAGTTAAGCATCCGACTCTTGATTTTGACTCATGATCTTGTGGTTTGTGGGTTCTAGCTCAGAACCTCCTTGGGATCCTCTCTCACCCTTTCTCTCTGCCCCTCCCACAAGGGCACGTGAGCTCACTCTCCCTCTCTCTCTCTCTCTCAAAATAATAAATATTTTTTAAAAATGGCCTTTCTCTGCTTAAAATCCTGAAATGGCTTCACACTTCCCATGGAGCAAAAACCAAAATTTTGCGTTATGTGCCTCCTTACCTCAGTCTCATCTACTCTCAGGGGCCCACTTGTCTTAGGACATTCTCATGTTTGTTCTGTCTGTCTGAAATGCTCTTTCCAGAAACAACCACATAGCCTGTTCACGCACCTCAGTATTTGTCAAATTCTTCCTCTGAAAGGCCTATTTGTAACCACCCTACCTAAAATGGCCAGCCCATCATCCAAATCCCAATCTCCTCCCAAACTCTACATTTCCTTTCTTCTGTAGCACTTAAACCACCTCACACACAACGTAATCCACATATTTATTTTAGTTGTTACTGAGTATATCTCTCATCAGAACATCACTTTTACAAGGTCAGGAACCTTTGCTTCGTTAACTGATGCATCCCTGGCTCATGGGACAGGGCTCGGCACATAGTAAGTGCTCAACCGAGACTTGAATGAAGAGATCCCACGTACTGTGAGTGGACAGCCACTCTTTCCTTCTTCAGGGTTGTGTGTTTGGGCTGTTGGATGTCAGGGGACATTACTGACCATCGGGCGCCTGCCACAACACAGAACGTAGAGTGAAGCAGGCAGGTGAGATGTTGTGATTGATAACAAGAAATATATATTTGGTCTTTTTCCCTGTTTCTTGCTTAGAGCTCCGAAAACCCTTGGAATGTCCTAAGTGTAGACAGTGATAAAGATGTCTTGTGTTATGTTAATGAGGTGGCTTTGGAACTGCCCCTGAGGATGGGGGCTGGTTGCCTGGAGAAACAACCAGGTGATTAGAGGGTTGGAACTTTCAGTCCTGGCCCCATGACCTCCAGGAAGGGGAGAGAGGCTGGAGGCTGAACCAATCTTCAATGGCCAATGATTTCATCACTCGTACCTGTACAATGGAGCCTCCATTAAAACCCCCAAGAGGAGGGGGTTTGGAGAGCTTCCGGGTTGGTGGACACTCGCAGATTTTGGGGATAGTGGTGCCCTTTCCCCACACCTTGCCCCTAAGCATCCCTTCCATCTGGCTGTTCTTAAGTTATATCCTTTTATGATAAACCAGTAACCTAGTAAGTAAAGTATTTCTCTTAGTTCTGTGAGCCACTCTAGCAGATTAATCAAACCCAAGGAGGAGGTGATGGGAACTTCTAGTCTACATCTGGTCAGTCAGAAGCCCAGGAGACAGCCTGGATTTTCAATTGGAATCTGAAGTAAGGGTGGGGGAGACCGTTGTGTAGGATGGAGCCCTTAACCTGTGGAATCTGATGCTACCTCTGTGCAGATAATGCCAGAATTCAGTTAAAATATGGAATACCCAATTAGTGGCCCAGAGTTGCCTGGTGATGTGGGGAAACTATCCCCTACACATGCTCACACACACACACACACACACCGGAATTGGATGACATAATCTTAGTGGGCAATACAATGTTCATAGAATTTAATTGAAATATATACCTTGCTGCCCATTTGTGGGGTCACTTCTTACTGCCTCGCAACCTGACTGCCCCCTGGTGGTTAACTGTGCTTACTAAATTATGGGAATAATTGTACTACAAGTCAGTCAATCAAATCTCCTGGTTGAGGGAGATTCTGAGTCAGCCAGTCCCTTTACATTTGCAGAGAGCTAGACTTCAGGGTATGAAAACAGCAGAGTACGTTTAGGAATGGCATCATAGCTTTCAAATTTTGAGTTCACTTTCGGCAGGCTAGTGGTTATCAAATATCATCAACCTCAACCCCTTGCCGTTTTCTTCAAGGGGTAAAGAAATGGAGACCCAGCGAGGTTGTAGCTCTAAGGCAACTATCTTCATTTTGAGTCACAATTAAAATTGACATAATAAAAATCCATTACAGTATGATTGGTGGATATATAAATTCAGGTACTTGATGTATTAAATCACATCTCCAAAATATCCGAAGAAAGATAAATCTGGGTGTTGGTGGAGGCTCATTTTGTCCTTCATATTGTTCATTTGGCCAAGAAGTGGATCAGCAGGTCTGAGGTGGCTCAGTCAATGAGGCCGATGCCAGCTGTGGGACTCTGGATGCTGGATGCTCCCCTTTTCTGACCAGTCGTAGAAGTTCTCTATTTTACCCCACTCTGATTGATCACTGTAATGCATATGTAAAAACCTAAGGGCAGAGGGGCCCCTCTTGATTGGAATGTTGGCTACTGTGTGTGTAGACCCTCTATGGCTGACCTAAGCTCTGGGATAATTAGACTTGAGGGATTGCATGCAGAGTAAGTTTTCCCTCTAATAAACCTTATTTTATACCTGCAACATTTGACCCTACGAGTGTTTCCATGACC